CCCCAAAACCCCAAAACCCCAAAACCCCAAAACCCCAAACATTATTTTTCGTGCTGACGTTAGAGGTAAATTAATAAACCTAAACATCTCATTCTCAACATGGAAAGTAATAGAGATAGAGCAATCAAAAGGATCAAGGTCCTTAAGAAGCAGTTCAACCCATCAGAAGACTTCAAACGGGAGATTGACTCTTGCACGTTTAACTTCGATACTGCTTACGAGGTTGTTAGGAAACTCCGCCCATCGGAGCATTACAAAACCATTAAAGAAGTTGACCACATCGTAAGATGGGAGAGGTTCGCCCAAGTGCCAAAGGATGAGCTCAGAGTTAAGACCAACAGATGCGTCAAGAATATCATGGATACTCTTTATCAGAAGAAAGTGTTCACACCTGAGCAAGTTATCACAGACCCAGATCTTGTGAACAGATGCTTAATGGGAGTCTCCTGGTTCTCAGGAGAACTATCTACCAAAATAGCGGTTCAAACAGGACTTTATGCCAAGAGTTTGTATAACATTGGAACAGAGATTCACTCAGAAGCCCTGATGAAAGCTGCTAAGTTCGAGGAATGGGGGTGATTTTGATTAACAGAGCTTGGACATGGATCCGATGTGAGTCAATTAGAGACGACCGCACACTACGATTCTATGACGAAAGAGTTTATTATCAACTCTCCTACACCAACATCAAGGAAATTCTGGATAGGAAACCTTGCGATCACAGCTACAAAGGCTGTAGTCTTCGCTCAGCTAATCGTAAATGGTGTAAGGTACGGTATTCATGGATTACTTGTTCAAATCAGAGACCCAAAAACCATGAAGTCCTTACCCGGAATCACCATTGGGGATTGTGGAGATAAACTAGGAATAAACGGAATTGATAATGGATGGGCCTTGTTTGACAAGTGTAGAGTCCCAAAGACTGCTTTGTTGAATAAATATGCCGATGTTTCACCAGATGGAGTGTACTCCTCATCCATTAAATCCAAAGCTAAAAGAATGGCTGTCCAACTCGGCAGTCTGAGTGGAGGAAGACTAGCTATTGCTCAGGTCAGTGTAGATCAGGGCCTCTACGGTCTCTCAACAGCTTTGAGATATACAGCAGTAAGGAAACAATTCAAGAACCCTAATACAAAGATTGAGTCAAGAATCCTTGATTACAGAATCTTGCATCACAGAATCATTGGAAAATTCTGCCATCAATTTGTCCAATATGTGGGATTCAATAAAGTAGTTGAGTTTTGGAATCAATTTAAGGAGGAAGGAATCAATGAATCCAAGATGACAAATTTCATCCACCTTATATCCTCGGTATCCAAGGCAGTCCTGACATGGGACGGAAGAGATGCAACCACTGAGGCTAGACAGGCATGTGGAGGGCTTGGATTCTCTTCCTACAATAATTTCGGACCATCAATGGTCATAATCGATTTAAATACTACTTGGGAAGGAGACAATAATATATTGATGCAGCAAGCAGGAAAATTGATACTCCAAAATCTTGCCTATTTGTTCAAGGGAAAGCCTTTGATGCCCACATTTGAATTCCTTATGGAAGATATCCCTGATGTTGAGCCATTCACAGAGTCTTTGGAGGACCTTGGCAACATTTTGAAATTATTCACATATAGACTTGTAAATCTAATTCAAGAAACTGGAAGTAAACTTCAAATGGCTGAGGATAAGGTTTCAGAATGGGATAGATTATTGGCCTATTACGTTTATCCTATGACTTTCACTTATTTCAATAGATTTTTGCTTTCAGAATACATAAATTGGTTAGCCAATTTCGATGGAGATTTAGAGACAAAGAAAGCATTTGAGAAGGTTGGCCTCATCTACGGCCAGAGGGTCTTGATCAATGACGCTGCTAACTTCACAGAGTACCTGTCCAAGAGCCAGATTGACGAGTTGAAGGATAGTGTAATGAACCATCTTTTGGATATGAGAAAAGACATTATAGCAATGACTTATTTACTCCCATTCACTGACAAGATGTATGGAGCTGTTGCTAGATCAGAGATGAAACCATATGAATACTTCTTAGATGCAGTTAACTACTACCAATCTGGAGGTAAATCTCGGGTCGACGATGACATCATTCTCTCCACTTCAAGATAAGAAGTTCAATTAAAAAATGTCTACTAGGGGTTTTGGGGTTTTGGGGTTTTGGGGTTTTGGGG